TGCTACAAAATCTCATACGGTTGTCTGCGCCATACAACTGGTTACTATAACAGATACTATATAAACCAATGTGCAACAATCTCTCTACATAAATAAGAATGCCTTTATGTTTGTTTGCTCGCGATGAACTCAATCACTACTATAGCTATCGTCACCAACTTTCTACAATTCTTTTTGGGGTCCTGGGAGAGGCTTTCCGACCTAAAAAAGCTAAAACCAGAGATACTAATTAAAAACTCCGAAAACGGCTAATTTTTGCCCTCATTTCTCCGAGTGGCAACAGTCTCGCACGCTGGAGATAAAAATCTGTTTTATTTCGAGAAGTGTTGCCACTGCTCGCTTTCAAATGGCAGAGTTTGTTAATAAAAAATTTAGAAGTTTTGCAATGAAATAAAAATAAGGTCAAATTTTAAATACATTATTCTCGATTTCAAAACTTTGTGGGAAGCCATTTCCATCGACCATTCCCATCGTTGTACTATATCTCTGTACGAGTCAGCCGAGATATTAATTAAAAACGTTGAAAACACTAATTGGATGATGATTCTCCACCACCAGGATCTAGCGATTAGTTTTCCTAATACCCAGGACAGGACAAGACTAAGTGTGGGAAGCACCAACACATCGCCATTGGCAGAACTGGTGTCACTCCTTCACACTAACCGTCTTGAGATCCCCTAATACCTAATCTCTCTTTAAATATAAAGTATTTCTCCCACCTTCTTAGCATGCCTTCGTGGTGTAGTGGTCAGCATGCTCAGCACGTATCGAGAGGTCCGTGGTTCGAGTCCCGGCGAGGGCACTGCTCATTTTTCATCTCTATTGCTTTCAAAAATACCTAATGTCTCTACAAACTCTGTCATAATGCATGCTGATTGTTGTTTTGTAAGTACTTCATTCGTTGAGACAGTTCCATTTTTAATTAGGCATTTTTTATAAACCATGGTTTTATTGAAGGTAATATATTCGGGCGAAAATTACCGAATATGGAACTCTGAAAAATTGCATTTATTTATGGAGTCGCTTTTTCATCAGGTCAAGGTTAGTGATATCAAAGAGACGAATTGTCAGGCCACTTTTTTTTGAAAAAAACCATAGATGCCGAGACCTACCAAGAAAATGTCTGATACTTCATAGACTTATTGAAGGAAAATGATCATTATTCCTGGATATAGTACTTTGGTTTAGAATGTTGTATAACAGATTCCACCATGAAGATATGGAAGATATTTTAGCAAAAAATATCTAAAATCTGTGAGAACAGAGATCTCCACCCCTTATAAGTCTAAACTATTTTTTGGTTTTAAAACAAACTGTATTCATAAGTAATACAGACAGCTTGGAAATGTTCCACTAGAGGGAAGCTAGGCATTTTTTAAATTAACTGCAATTATAATACGCGCAGTTTTTCAGAGAGAAATTTAAGATCAATTTCATATTATTGATTGAGGATAAATGGTAGTTAAACGGCCTTTGAGTTAAGAGAATAGAAATAAGAATGGAGGTTTCTTTTACTTGCCTCCCATGGCCGAGTGTTCTGTCTTTATATTTGTTACATAATTTAAAACAGTTTTGATGAGCTTCTGGAATAAAAATTTGAAAACTATTAAGTGGTATCTCAAAACAAGAAATAATGTGTAATTAAGTTTTGTAGAAAATAAACTATTTTTTGCAAAGGAAATATTTCGTTTTCACACAGCGATTTTTAGTTTGTTTCTCGTGTAATCTTATAAGACAATTATATGTATTATTATTATTTATATGTTATTTTGTCATTTTAGGTGCCTACCGTCTCAAGTCTTCTGATGGTCTCTCATTACTTGCGAGAGTTTGATAGGTAACCATCTCGGTTCCAGAAAAGGTATGCAAATTACACACTGTTTCAATAAATCACGAATATTAAAATAATTTTATTGAAGTTTGTTTGTGGATATTTCCTACTTTATTTTCCATGACAAAATGTTAGAAACAGTGGGGATGGGAACATTATACTGACTCCTCCTGAGAGCAATGGTACAATAGGCGAAAACCAAACGCAGCTTATATAACGCACAAATTTGAATTTTTCGAAAACATATTGCAATCAAAACGTGATAAATATCGATTAACGACTTCTGTTACGGACGCAAGATAGATCTTTCTATTTTTGATGTGGCAATCGATAACTGCAGAATTTTCAAAGGTAATTCTGTCAAAGTTTCTGTACTTGGTCAACATTAGTGGATGCATCAGTATCCACCGAGTATATGGCAACTGCTCATATGCCTTTCATGTGAATAGGCTTGTAATCTCGAGGCTAGTCCAAACCAAATACAGAAGTACGATGACTCAAATTATATCTAAAATTCTGGAGCTGCATGGAATGTTAAACCGCAGAAGGAATGATGTCTGCTGAAGATCCTAGACTGCATAGACTCCTAGTAATGCACTGTTGCTAACTAAGCATTATCAAACACTGGATATTGGCTTGTACTAAGAACATCAGAATTCAATCTTTTCGGAGCGGCAGAGAATTCTGTATCTTCGACAAAATAAAACAACCTATCCTATCACATTGGTCTAGTTTAAGGGGATGATAGCTTTAAGATATTGTTAACAGTCTTCTTTTGTGTCACTCAGATTTCCTTAAACATTGCATATGATCACAGAGTACTGGTAGTCACCTACATTCTTCCATACCATTATGTTTATCCCGGAGGAAAAGGCTTATTTCAGCATCGCGCTAGACTACTGTCATGAACACAACTCAGTCTATTTATGAGACATCAGTGGCTTCCAAGCCGGTGGGTTTACGTTTTGTTGAATTATTCCGGGACACTATGAAGACAACATCCGATCTATGGATCCAGGATTGTCTAACATGGAGCTAGGAACAATACTGCAATAGGCGTGGCATGCAGTTTGTTCCAACAAAACTCGAACATCTAGTGAAACTGATGCCTTGGCATTTGCAGGCATTGATAAAATTATATTAGGAGGAAACTGTCTATAAGGAAGCTGTCTCTAATATTTTGATCATTCAGTGCTCTAGTTCCTGTTAAAGTTTTCATTTAATTAGTTTTAACTACTTTCCGGAATATTTTCTAGCAAACTAAGAAGTATACTTTATTGTGTGAATGACAAAGTCTTTATAATAGAATTCTTTAGTTAACATGTATGAAGTTTATAATGGTATTGGGCATCGCATATTATATGAGACAGTAAAGAGTTTTCTTGCTGTATAAAGCATATGAGATTTTTCATACATTAACAATAGTTTAGGTTTTACAAGTAAAATATTAAACCAGATATTAATTACTTGTAGTCTATATATAAAACTAAATATCGTGATTATGTATTTATGTATACTCGCAGTGATTCTAGCAGAATGTACTAAAAATGAATATTTGTTTTAGCATAATTAAAGTTGGCTGGAGCAGAACGTGAAGAAATTAATATCTCAAAAATATATAGTGATACTTCGGCATACGTCTGTTTCTAAGTACGTTCAGCTTGGTATACGCCTTGTCTGCAACCAAATATTTACCTTTAGAATACGACATTTCTTTGGCATACACATTGAGTTGAGTCACTACTACATGCATTAAACTTGTTTATGCCCTTTAAGACATGCTACGACTGTTTATGAGTAGCAGTATGCCTGTTCTATTATTCAGTAAATAACCCGCACTATAACTATGAATTTTAATGAGATTTCATGTTTTTTCGTATAAATGTTTTGTAAATGCATTAAGAATAAATTTTAGGAAAGTTAATGAAAAGAGTCAATTAACGAAGAGCATTTATTGTTAGTATCACCAAGGAGGTGAAAAAAGAGATTGGTAATATGTATGAAGTTGGAATGAGTATCCGGAATATTGTATACCGTATGCCGAGTACGACGGTGTGTACGATTGTAAAAAATAAGGAATCTATTAAATGGGCTAACGTTGCGAAGGGGATGAAATCGATTGTCAAACAAAAGTCAGAGACGTTAAAAGCATGTTGGACAATTGCTTTTGATCTGGATAACAGAAAACATTTATGTACAAAATCATGTGCAATGCTTCATTTATGTACAGTATATATTTTGCTCACTGCATTTATATTTCAATATTGAAGAGTGTAATAATCATAATAACAGAACGTTTTAAAAGAATTTATTATTCCTCCCCCCTTTTCTGATTGGAAAAGTTCGCTTAGTGTAAGTCCAAGGATCTGGAAGGGATTAGTGACGTATACCCGAGGTACCACTAAATTTTTTAAAACTTTTGCTACCATAATAGGAAATTTTCATTTGAAGATTTAAATGAAGGGGAACCTACAACATTTATTTATTAAAATGCTTATATGCAGCGAAAATAATTGAGGAGAAAAATGTTTACTCTGTTCCTTTGAACAATCTTTGCTGATTAAAATAAATTAAACTCATTATTATATGAAAAATTATTATTGAGCTGTGAACAATTCAACATTTATTCATGAAATTTGAATAAAACTCTTTAATGAGTCATTCTTTAAAATATTAATTAAGGATTATATATATTCCTAAATTATTTAATGGAACTGTCATTAAATTAATATTTAATGAAATTACTTCTAAGTTAGAATTATTGGCCTTAGAAATTGTTTAAATCTGAAGTAAGGGGTCTTGAAACAAATTTATTCATATGAATAAAATCATGCATGACTTTAAAACCCTCTCAGCGTTAAGGCCGGAAAATTCCGTACAGAAGGTTGCCTTCCACATTCATTATACATGAAAATTTCTGCTAGCTTTTAATGTATGTATCTGATTTTAGTTTGGATATATATTGGAAGAAAAGGAATCAAGGTACAAAATGAAAGAGTCATTTTTTAATTAAAATCAAGAAAATATATCACTTATTCATGACATCTTGAGGAATGAAATTTCAAGGCTAAACCCGTAACGATCAGAGGGTTAAAATTAGTCGATCTTCAAATCATGACACCTTTCCCGTTTGAAAGTGAACAATAAAATAGGAATCAACAATCGAATCAAAATACTGAATAATATTTTTATTTTATTTCCGTATAAAACTTTAACTTCACATTTAAAATACAATATACAAATGTTTCAACTAAACCACATAGTAAATACATTATTTCTGATGAAAGAGATTCCACTACAATTTATATTTCTCCAGTTCTCAGTAGTTTGTATATACGGCAACCAGTCTGAGAAACATCTGAAAAGAAAAATGATAAATGCAGTTGCACGTTCAGTAATCTGAGAGTATAAAAATGCTTTTTAGTATACACTTATAACACTTATGTACTATAAATTTGAAGATTAAAATGATTATAAAGTTATACATTGAAGATTAAAATTTAATAAATGTAATGCGTGCTTTCTGAAATGTATTACATTTATTAAATTTCAGTAATATATGCTTTCTGAAATATAATTAATTATCTTCAATTTCTAAAATATGGTATATTTGTAACATTAAAAATCAATAAGCATATCATATTTTTATTTTAATACAATTAACCCCGTCTAAGACGGCAACCCTCAGTTCAAATCATTGTGGTGCTTGATGTGGTCAATATGGAGAGGTAGTCATCTTAGGTAGTCGCCTAAAGAAGGTTCATTACAGTTTCAAAATTCGAAACAAATTTTTAATCGAATGAAGGGTCGTTTTGATATTTAAAAAGGGCATACTAAAACTTTCAAAATTTTTTATCCTTTATATACAGAGTGTTTCATAGATCATGGAAAAAACTTGGAGGGGTGGTGGAGCGTACTAAAACATGCATTTTTCGTATAGGAATTTAAGGTCTAAAGTGACCGGTTAAGGCAGGAACGCAAAAAAACGACGCAAGAGGAAAATGCTTTTATGTACAAAATCAACGCAAAGTGCTTCTTTGCAGCAATACAGTATTCACAATAAATGTTCAGAAAAGGGAACACTAACAGTAATAGGAACTACAGCTATGATTGGCTGGTAGTGCAGCGGTAGAGGGCGGTAGTAAGCCGGACAAACCACGATCCGATGCATCAGAGAATCATTCGAAACTATGATGTCGAGCGTGATGGATGAGTTTACGCACAGGAAAAAAGCTGACATGCATCTCATGTATGGTGCTGCTAATGGGAACGGCAGAGCAGCGCTACGGTTGTACCAGGAACGGTTTCCAAACAGGCGTATGACGAAGCACACAATGTTCGAGAGGTTGCATCGTTCTCTGTGTGAAAACAGGTCATTTGAAGCCACCTCTGACGCTATGAGTGGAGGAAGTGCACGACAACCTCGCAATGAAGAATCCGTCTTGAACATTGTGCATGAATCACCTCAGACAAGTACAAGAGCTATTGCACGTCGTTTGCAGCTGAGTCATTCCACAGTTTGGAGAGTATTGCATGAAAATAGTTTGCACCCATACCATTTGCAGAGAGTCCAAGCCTTGCAAAGAGACAGATTACCCTCTTCGAGTTCATTTCTGTCATTGGTTCTTGCAGCAGTGTGCGGCGCAGGCGGATTTCCCATTGGATGTCCTATTCACGGACGAGGCAACTTTCTCACAGGACGGCATCTTCAATAGCCACAACATGCACGTGTGGGCAACATTTAATTCCCACGGCACACGTCCATATGCATTCCAAACCGGCTTCTCCGTGAATGTATGGGCGAGTATTGCTAACGACTACCTCATAGGCCTATATCTCGTACCTGCACATACAAATGGCTTATGTTATCATATTTTTCTGCAAGAAGGTGCTACCGGAATTGCTGCAGGATGTTCCGGCTGTCGTTCGTGATCGCATGTCGTTCCAGCATGATGGTGCACCAGTCCATAACCACGTGCGGGTCCGCAATTACTTGGATGGGACATTTCCGGGCAGATGGATTGGCCATGGTGGACAAGTTCGATGGCCCCACCCTGTTCGGCAGATTTATCCAGCTTGGACTTTTTTTTTAATGGGGCCATTTGAAGAGCATCATTTACGAGACTCCCGTTGACTTACTGAAGGACGTTCGTTGCACGACTTATCCATTGCTGCTGCAAGCGATGCGTGCGAAATGCCTGTCGTTTTGCAAAATGTTCGTCAACTCTTCTGCGACGTTACCAAGCATGCATTACTGATGGTGGTCGCAATTTCGAACATTTATTGAGAACACTGTATTGCTACAAAGAAGCACTTTGCGTTGATTTTCTACATAATCACATTTTCCTCTCGTGTCGCTTTTTTGCGTTCCTGCCTTAACCCGTCACTTTAGACCCTACATTCCTATAAAAAAAATGCATGTTTTAGTACGCTCCACCAAGGTGAAGTATAAGCTATCAAGGGGTAACATTGATAAAAGCTAAAAAAATACTTCGTTAAGATCGTTTCTAAAACAAATAGCTCTCTCATATTTCACCATAACCCAATACTTCACGCGACCCACTCTCAATTTTCTCATAAAATTTATAAGAAATCCTTTACATCCAATCGTAAATCCAAAGGTGTATCCCTACCTCCAATCGGTAAAGTGTTTAAGGGAAGTGTTAAGTGTTTAAAGACTTGAATTTTGTAACTGTCAGGTTAATGTGCAGTACGGCCATCTAAATTACGTGACTCCGCAAGTGCATTCATTTGATACTGTCGGCGGAAGATGGAGGTATCATATTCTGAAAAATATTTATAAAAGTTTCTGCTAATCAAAACTCAAATGGTGCTTGATAGCTACAGGTATTGTACACTCTTAAACTACGGTACAGTCTGGGCTTACCGTGTTCTTAATAATATTCTAATTCAAATTATTCAGTTTTTTTTTTGATACGATAATGGAATGTATTGCAGTTATTTTTACATAAAAGTTATAGTTACATTCGCCAGTGTCAATAACCAGTGCTGTCTTCGTAATTGTTGGATCCATATTACACGCTAATAGCTAAGTAACTGGTTCTTTTAATTTCCTAAAACCATTGCTGTTCCTCTTCTAAACGTTAACTTGTGCTCCCATAATTCTCTATAAAACAAACCAGTTACATCTGTGTTATAAATTTTACGTGGCTTTTATGTTTTTAGAAACACGGGTAAATCCTCTCTATCCAGTTCTAAGCCGAATGACGATTTGCTCGTTGCTTCTGACCATGTAGTTTCTGATAAACAATGTTATTCTGCTATTTCCACTTAGCTGAAGCATCTACACAAATTTTCACAGAGGAACATAATTTTCTCTTTGAATATGAGCAAATTCTACAGCTTTTGTGGTCAAAAGAACTCTAGAAATTGGAACCCATTCAGAAGACCGATTTTAACTTCTCTCGCTTTTCCATCCAGCTCATTATGAATTTTATTTCTGTGTTTAAATATATTGTTCAATGCTGTTTGGTAAATTCACATTTTAAATGTTGCTTTTTTGTATTTAACAAATATATCATACGCTTTAATAAATTTATCTTTTTCTGTTAGGCTTAAATCATTTCGTTTACACAATTTCGATATATTGCACGTCACGCGAACAGCAAATAAAAAATATTGCTTCCTAATTCCAAATCCAAAATTTCTATTTCTAGCGAGCAGGAATGTTGCACTTAGTCTGTCAAATGGACCTCTCACTTCATGATTATCATATGTGTAATCAATGCTTTCTTTTCTTTTTTCTTCAGCCTACAACGACAACTCCCTTTTTCCAATCAATTAAAAATTAACGATGATGGAAGTAAGCATTTCATGATGTTTTTGAAACCATCCTGCAGTTTACGTTAATGTGTGTATGCATTTCCATTCCTTGTCAGCTGATGTCCGATAAAGGGAAGCAGTGCTAACTGAAGTACCACTTTTTCTTAATCCTGTGAAACACTCACTCATTTACAATTAAAAAAACTTGCTTCCAATGCTTCTCGAAGACTGCTTTTGTTAATCTTAAAATAAATATATTCTGTCGCTCTCAACTTTAGTCAAAGAGATTTACAAAAGGGGGTATGGCAGAGACTACGGAACGGTACTCGACACCCCCAAGGGACCTTGGTTTTAATTAAACTTTCTGCTAAACCATTGAAACACGACATAACTGAAAGATAAATGAGTAAATAACAAATAGCTTTTATTAGCCATAAACAGTTTGCTCTCGATCTGAAGAATCAGTCTTTCTTTCTTTAACAAATTGCGTTTTTTCTATTGATTTTTATACATTTGTTTGGTTTTTGAAAATTTTAATGTAATAAGTGGCTGAGTTTAGTAACCACTGAGTTAAATAAAAGTCGGATACTTTATAATCGGAACTTCCGTTAGCAGATACTCACAAGTATGGTGTGTTGGTGTATTTAATTATGGCAAAGCACACGAGGGCTATCTGCCTAAGGGGAGGGATGCCTTTCGTGGAGGACTTTCTAAGGGAAACTGGCTCGTATACACGTTACACATGGGGAAAACCACGAAAACGCCCATGCAGCCAGCCCGTTCGCGGGATTCGAACCTCGGACCGAACTACCAATGTTCAGCGACTTTACCGCTCGGCCGCTGGTGGGCCCAGATACTCACAAGACCAAGGCTTTGACTGTTATTTCGTAATCAGGAATGTCAGCTAGTCTGTCATTTGGAGAGTAAGGAGGTTCAGGAACTCCCCATTAATAAGGACCGTCCATTAAAGTGAATGCCAAATAATGGAGGTTCGATTGTATGCTCAAAAAGTCTTCGTCTTTCCAAAGATACTGGCAAGTGATTTATCAGCAAACTCTACGGTCCACATTAGTGCGAACGACGAATTAGAAACATTAATATAAAAAAAAAAGGTGCTTGTGTTTTCAAGTCAAAAATGTTCATTTTTCTTATCTGCAGACTGCTAGCATATACAACACATAAGTGTAAACAATAGTTGTTACACACCGTAATAGTTTTGGAATATATACTTATTTTTACCCTTTATTCTAAATGAACACTCTTATTTTAAAATGAAATGCAACAATATCTGAAATTATTTCCGTCATGCAATATTTGCGCAATCCCTTAAAATAGATACAATGTACGAGTGAAGGTTTTCAAGTTTATGGATAAATTTCTACAAAGCAGGGAAGAATTGGGTAAGATTTTATGGTTCTATTTTATGATTTCGCAGCATGAATCTTAATTAAGATGCGTCTGCGTATGCGGTAAATTTCCCATGTTATAGAAAATTTTACGACTTTCGTTCCTGTAGACTATCAAGTAGGTGGAATTTGTATTTTTTCATTAACTCCATGGTATGTCTCTCCCTTC